CAGGGAGCCTCTGAGATTCCCCCTGGAGAATCTGTCCTGGGAGGAGAGCTGAGAGAGCTGGCACTGGTCAGCCTGCAGAAGAGGTGGCTCAGTGTGTATAAATATCTGCAGAGGGAGGAGGGGAGATGGAGCCAGGGCCGCATCTGTGGAGACACTCAGAGCTTGGTGCAGCACGAGGTGCTGTGAATGGCCCTGCCCTGGCTGGAGATTCCCCCTTCCAACCCCGGCTGTTCTGTCACTGCCACCACAAAATGCATCTCAGCAGGGCTGCTTTAGCAAGCCAGAGGACACCCTCTTTGATCTCTGTTTGAGGCTCCATTTCAAGCTGTGTGTGACAAACGCTCGTTTAGGTGGTTCTGCTCCTCAGATGTGTCTGTGTACGTGCCCTGAAAAGAGAGTCGATGACTCACCCACTCCATATTTAAAATACATCTCATGGCACACTTAAAGCTGGCAGAAATGAGAACCCTCCATTTCTCTGAGCCCAAGCAAAACCAAAACAACTTTTGCAGAGCAGGATGGGTCCAAACAAACCAGATACCACAGTGTTAATATTTTAACAAATTTGTCACAGTGACTTCATTAATCAACCGATTTAAAGAGTCAAACCCCCTCATCTGCAGCATGGTCATCAGAAAGTTGTAATCAAATGTATTTAACTGTCTAATTATTTCAGTCACTGACCTAAAATGAACTTTCTGTAAACCCATTCATGTAGTGATAGTTCATTTGAGCTTCATTTTAGCTGTTGTGCTCTGCTCAGAAGCGACTTGTGAAGCATTTCCAGAGCCACAACGACTAATCAGGTTTTCTACTTGTGATTTCCTCTGGTTTCAATGACTGTTGTGGTTGTCCCCCCCCTCCCCACGGGTGCTTCTCATTGTCCCAGTGAGCCAAGTGTCCCTCCCAGAGCAGGTGGGGGGGATGGAGGGAGAAATTACACCTTACAAAAGAGTAGAGCAGCCTCTTCAGTGGAGATGAAGTGACCTCACAGCACACACAGACATCAGCTGGGCAACTGGCTCAGCTTTTCCCAGCTGGTTCCCCCTTTATTCCCCATTCCCACACATGTCCCTCAGTGCTGAGCTGGCCTGGCCACACACCTGGAGCTCAGAGCCACGCAGGACAGTGCTGGCAGCAGAGCCTGGCCCACCCACGTGCTGAGGGATTATTGAGGTGCATGTGCCTTTTGTCAGGAGGTGCAGATGCAACTGGTGCGTTCTAATTCAAATCCAACTCGGTGGGAACCACTTGCAAGGCTGGGGGGATGCTGGGGGGGAAGGGGAGGTTTGCCAGCCCCTCCCTGCCTGCCCAGGCTCAGCCCTGCCTCGGTGCCAGGGCTGGCAGGACCCCTCCCCAAAACCTGCCCAGTCTCACTTCCCCCTCCCAGACCTGCTGCAAAACAACAGGTCCTGCAAAGCTCTCCCTCTCCAGGAAAGCTCCCAGAATGGAAAAACCTTCCTATTCTAAGTTAAACAGTTGGTGGTTGTATTTCTTCAGCACATTGCCCAGTGAGTCTAGAAAGTGGTTTTACTGTGACTTTTATCCTCATCTCAGCACCCTTGTTCCACAGTTCAGAGTCTCATTAGAAGTTAAAATTATTTGTGAGGCTAATTACATTATTTTGGCCTATATAATGGACCATTGTGTGGAAAAGCTACAGTAAGGGTTGAGAGGCTCACCTACAAAGTCAGCTTTGCACTGAACCTGATAGGTCAAAGCCAGAGAGGTTGAGCATCTTTGATACAGCTGCAGTGCCTGAGCATCACCACGGGGGCTGCACCAGCAGGGATGTGGTGAAGACCAATCTGCAGCAGGGCAGGGAGGGGAATTGTGCCAGCTCACGTGTTCAGGTTTGAATTGGCTGGCCCACGTCTCACTCACACTTTTAAATCTGAGCTCTGAGAATCCCCGAGCCCCCAGCTCATCCCCCAGCTGAGAAGGAACAAGCCTCTCACACTTCACTGCTTTGAAATCCCAAGGACCTCAGGAGCCCACGGCACATTTTCAGAGTTTTCTTTGCTGCTTGAGTTGGATTCAAAGCTGTCCAAGGGAATAGATTTGCTCCCCCTCAGCTCTGGGCACTTTGGAGCCTGCCCCAAAAACCAAACAGCTCCTTTCAAAGTCTTCCTCCTTCCCCCTTCCCAGGAGGGTGCAAAGCCTGGAATGGTGCAATAATTTCCCACCTCTTGGCCAGAAAGAGCTGCATTTCACAGGTTGCAACTGGAGGGTTGAGCTGCATGTTGGAGGGGAACAAAATAGAAGGCAAAAGCCAATGACAGGAATTGCAGAGGGAAAGCAAACGATGAGTGCAAGAACATAGAGAAAAAGACACCCAGTATTTGTGACTGGGGGGGAAGATTTTCTTGGATAGTGGTTTTTGTGACAAAAAAAAAATTCCTGTTGCTCAGAACTCTGCCTGTTGACACAACCCTGATGGGAATTTCCCTTCCTGTCCCTTATGGTGCTGGAGAAGTCAGGTAACATCTGTTATGCTTGTACAGCAGCCCAGCAGAACATAAAGCTGTTAGCCCTGCCCTGCTTATCAACCCAACCTGAATTTTCATCTCGCCAATATTTTCCAAAAGATATTATCAGAGGATAGAGAACTTCTGTTCTGAAGCACATTTTACTGCAGGCTTTGGGCAACTACTGTCCCTTAAACCGTTAGGGATCGAGGATATAGAAATAAAAATTGTAATTAAAAAATACACGGGTTTTAGCCCAGGCCATGCTACAAAGAAAATGAAATTAAACAAAGACACAAGTGGGAATGTTTTAGTATAGTACTGTCACTGCTGAGTTTAACAGGGGAAAAGAGAGGATAAAACTTAAACCTGTTGCGAGGAACAATTTGCATTTTCCTGGAAGACAGGACGCTTTGTTCTTATGAAATCTGAAGACCACGGAGGAGGAACCAATGGTGTTCTTTTCTCTGCCAGCTGGGGAAGATCTCCTGGTTTTAGGATTTCTTTACGTGTTTTACACTGAGGAGGGCACTGAAGACACTCCTGCTTCTCCACAGGCTCACTGCTGATAGAGCAGGGGGTTGTTGCTCAGGGGAACCTGGGCAGAGGTGCAGTGCAGGGACAGAGGGCAGCAATTGGAGATCAGGGATCTGTGATGAGTCACCCACCACGGTGCAAACACACGTTTTGGTTTTCAGTCACGGAGACACTTCCATTCAGGGCACAGATCAAACAGAGGAGATGATTGCTCACTCGAGCAAACCACGCAAATACATTTCCCTCTCACTAACAGAGCCTTATGAATGCAAAAATAATCGCTGATCTTGTGATCTGGGGGGGGAAAGCTGCACCCTTGTGCTGCATTGTGCAACATCCTGGAAGTTTTCATTTTAAAAGACTTTACCATTGCCCAGCTAAAGCTGCCGTCCTGCAGCCGGATTCATCCTGCCCTCTTATTCAAGCTGGGTGATAACGACATTTCCAGCCACAAGATATTAAACCCAAAGATGGGTTCCCCTTGAGGAAGGTGATCACTTCAAAGCAAACAAGGATTTGAGTCAGGGTAAGGTGACTAAGCCCAGGTGAGAAGTTTAGGGAAGAAGAGCCGTGAAGAACCGGCCTGGCCAGATCGTCAGCTGGTGTTAAAATCACCCTCACCCTCCTCCCATTGCTTGATTTATTCTCCCTGAAGACCGAGCCCTTGAAAAGTATAAATATTCCAAATGAATCTGAAAGTCACGTGGAACGCTTTCCAAGCTCAGCGATGCCAGAGCTGGAGCTCCCAGGGTGGCCTTGGCTGTCAGCTGAGTCTCACCCCAGGCACTGGGCTGTGCACTCGGGAGATGGCTAAAAAAGGGGAATCTCACCTGGGTGTGGTCCAGCACAGTTAGCGCTAAAAATAACACTGACTTTTGTATTTCCTCATAGCATTTTTATTTTTTGTCGACTGCTCAGAGCTGGTGCTGGGCTGGGGGTGGGGAGGCCTTCCTGGAAGTGCCCAGAGCACAGGGGTTCACTGAAATGTGGTTTTGCCCCTGCCCTTCTGTTTTCTACCAAGAGAGGCTTTGCCCTGAAGGGTGGGTGGAGGGAAAGCAAGCACAAGCAGAAGGAACAGCCTTGAAATGGCAGGAAGGATTCATATGCCTTCATGTCTTTCTTTAAAGCAGTCCTAGATGCTCAGACAATAGGCAACCACACAACATCCTGTTAGAATTTTAGTTTTGAGCTTTCATTTTTCAGTTGCAAGAGAAGCTCAGATATTACCCTTGAGAGAGAAATGATTCGGGTCTTTTATCTTGTAACTGCAGGGAGAGAGCTCGGAAGCAAGAAACCATGAGGGTTTTCAACCAAAAGTCAAATAACAAGTACAGAGCAGGTCTCCTTGGTTTAGCATTCACTGGGTTTAGGTCAGCTGTGAGTGTTTGGGCTTAGCTGGGGATGCCACTGCTGGTTCTTTCCACCTGTGCTGCTGCTCAGCTGCTGGGCACTGCATGCCTGGTGCTGCCCTCCTGCACCTCCCAGCCCCAGGGTCTGTGTGGGGGCTGAGCAGGAGCCTTTTGCTGCAGCTGCTGCCTTTGCTCTGCACCAACCAGCAGAGAACTCAGCCTGTCCTCAGCGAGAGCTCCCCTGCTCAGGGCAGCCCTTCCTCAAGCTGGGGACACTCAGTGCACACAGGTCCTCAGGACGGGGACACAAACAAATCCACGTCCTTTTCAAAAGCAGTTTCTGGACTTGGCACAGGAACTGGGAATGTCAGGACCCAACACAGGCATTGGGATTGGATATATTCTCTACAAGGCATCCCTTCTGCCCAGGGTCAAACACTTATACTACCCAACAGTGTGTTTTTTGCTTGGAGACAAATCTGTGGGTTTTACTAAACTAAATTTAGGGTATTCACTAAACTAAATTTAGAACACAGAACAGCATTAAATTAGTTTCAAACTATATACAGAACTAAGCAGTATTTTAAAAAAACCTTTAAATACAAGTACATTGAATATGGGAAACACATAGGAAACGTTCACTTACCCAAAAAGCATCTTTAAACTGCAGCTGGGTCATTATGATTGCTCTGTGGAGGGGTAGGATCCTTCAGCAAGTCGGTTCTGGGCTGGGAGCAGCAGCAGGCACAGCACTGAGGTTGTCAGTGCAGCCCAGCCCGAGCAGAGAGGCAGCTCATCCCCAGACCTGTCCCTCCTGCGCTCAGCACGGGGCAGTTCCAGGCAGCTCAGCTTAATGACCTGTGGCTGGGAAGGGACAGAGGGCAAAAAAGCTGTTGCTCACACACAGATTCATGCATGCACTCAGCACCCCAACCCCAAACCTGTTTCTCTTCTGGTGAACAGTTAATATTGAAATGAGGAAGCCAGGCAATGGCAAAGGGTGTCAGGCTGCTCCTTGCTGTTGGGTGCGTGTGAGTGGACAGGAAAAAAAAAAAAACAGAGGGGGGGAAAAAAAGCAGTAAATTCAGTGATATGATTTGATCAGCTACAAGGGGAAAGAGAGCACTTAAAATGCAGAGGAAAGCAGTACAATACAAAGAGACAAACCGTGGAGGAAATCACAGCCGAACCATCATGGAGCGCTGTGGTCTTGCAAAGAAAAAGCAGCGAAAGAAAAGAGTGTGCCCCGTTCCTGCAGCACCTTCTGGGGCTGGCAGAGGCCCAGGCCTTTGCACATGGGAAGTGGAGCTCAAAGCTGCATTTTGCAACTGAGAAGGCTTTTCAAGACTCTGGTTAAATTAGGAACCCTGAGAAGTGTGCAGGTGTCTCTGCACACATTTAGGTACCTGGATGTCAATATAGAGAACACTCCTGATTTGCATGCCCTCATGTAAATGGTTGTATGAATATGCAAGACATGTGAAATTGAGAAGTAAAATCCAAAGTCTTGGGAAAAAAGTAGAGCTAAGAGTTTGTTAGCACCAGGACTTGAGGTGAAGCCTCCCAGACCTGTGAAGGGGCAGCACCCAGCACCACACCCAGCACCCTCTGACAGCAGGCATTTCAGGCAGCTCCCCAGATCAGCTCATCCAGCTGTGATAATCCAGCAGCAAACATCTGGTCAGAGGGTAACACCTCAGATGCTCCCATGATACACTCTCCAAAATACCTGTCCTACTGGTGAGGTTGCCTCTGTTCACCTCCTTAGGATGTTTTAAGCACTATTAAATATGTGTTTTTAAACACTCACTGGCGTTTTTGGAGGGTAGGAAAAAAAAAAAAAAAGAAAAGGTGTGGTTGCCTGTGGAAAAGCCTGTCCTTCCCCACCAGGACCACAGCAGGACTTACTGAGCTACAACCAGTTGATGTTGCTCCTGAGTGTTGCTGTTTCCTGCTGTCCCTGCAGCACCAGCCACATGGGCAGATCATTTAGCAGTGGGGAAGGTTCCCCGAGCTCCAGCAGGGCACAGGGATCTGCTCACAGAGCTCTGCAGCAGCTGGTGGATAGAGTTATCCATTCCTCTCTCCATGGGAAATCTGCAGCTGGTGTTTGGGCAAGTTTCCTTCCTGGTGATCTGAAGAGGACAGAGAAGGTGCAGAGACTTTGACAGGCAGAACGAAGTGCAGAGCAGAAGGGGGCAACCAAGAGTCTGCAGGGCCGGAGGAGTGGCAGGAGAAAAGCATCATGGCATGAGAGGGGCAGAAGGAGAAACGAGAGGATTCACTTTCAGACGGTGCTGATGAGGAAGGGGCAAAGCTTTCTTCCAGGAGGGAAACTTCCCTTAAAGAAAAGTGTTTTGAGGGCATGGGCAGTAGTCATACTTGATCTGTATGCCAAAAAAAAAAAAAAAAAGAGATTTTAAAGTGTTTTATCTCAGTCTTTCTCAAATTAAATGGTTCCTGTTACCATTTCCAAGTTGCAGCTGTGATTTGGAACCGACATCTTTGCTGCTCTTGGGATTCGTAAAAATGCATCGAGCGCATTGTGCTGCTTTCTCGTTATTTTTAGCTTGGCCTCCAACCACAAAGCCAATTATTTGACTGACCCCCACACTGAGCTCTGTGCCTGCATCCATCCCACCCACCAGCACTGGTGCAGCTCAGTCACCTCCCCAGGGGTGCTCCATCAGCATGGACCGGTCTCTTTGTGCTGGGGGTGACTCTGTCTCCCACCCGTGGCTGCACAAGAGCTCAGGCCCCTCGTTCAGGTGTTCTGATGAGCTGTCAGAAATGAGCTGGTCTCATTTGCTTTTCATTCATTTCATACAGAAATGGTAGCCCTGGCTCTGATGAAGCAGAGCTGCTGGGTCCCTGCTCACACCCACCAGTGCTGCTGGGTTCTGCCCAGAGGGTGCCTTGCAGGGGTTGTCAGGCTTTGCGGGGCTCTAAAAGAGGGACAAAATGATTTATTTATTCCCCTTTCCTCTGAATAGGAACGGGACAACACGGCCTCCAGTTCTGAAATGCTCCTGACTGGGTTAATATTTTGATGTGAGCGGCCTGAATTTCAGGGAGGCTGGAAAGGCTGAGCCTGGCACAGAGCTCTGGGGGGCTGAGGGAAGGGGGACAAAACCAGTGAAGGTTGCTATGCTACCAACTGCTGTAATGCCATTACTGAAACCACCTGGAACTTCCTGAAATCCCCCTACCAAGTAGTGACGTCGATACCTTTGTGCCAAACAGAAGCGTTTTTAGTGGGGGAAGGGTTGAGGCTGCTCCCAGGATGCTCTGGAAACTTGCAGGGCCTTTCATCACCTCCACTTCCTCACTCTGACCAGAGCTTTTCACCTCACCTTCACCACTCAGAAATTCAGGCAATAACGAGCCTGAAGTGCAACTGTTCTTCCCCACCAGCTGCTGCAGCTCCTGCCCTCCACTGCTCTGAGAGGTTAAAAATCAGCTTTTGTGCTTGATAAAGCCAAGAATTCGTTTCCACTGAGGGCTTTTTTTCCCCCCTCACAGTAATTAAATTGTTTGGCAGCAGAATGTACCATTTGGATCTGTTCTGCAATGGAAAGTGATGAAAAGTCTGATTTTTTTTTTTTAAATGTTTGCATTAAACCCCCTCAAATTTTGTAATTCATTAGAATTTAATTTTTAACCATATGCTGCTTTGAGCAAAGGTTTTTATTGGGCATTTGGGTGGCAGGTTTGGACTTGACAGTAGGTAAAATACGAAAATAGCATCTACAAACGTGTTTATGCTCATCCAGGGCTACAGGAAAGATTCTTCCCAGTGAATGTTTCTGATTTTGAGGAGTCTGAGGGAGTAGGCAGTAAACCTTAGATTCTACATAGAAAGAGGATGAAGGAGACTGTGCAAAGCATTAAGGCAGGATATAAAGAGGTGCTGAACACTCAGATAATCCAGGTGTTTAGCCGGTTGCACTCTGCAAAACTCCTCAGGTGTATTGTGGCCCCCTTGGAATTGTTTTTTGGGACAAAAGAAACGTGAGATCACAAGGCCCTTCTGGGGGACAGAGCTCCAGAGCCACTGCTGGGAGGCACTCACGACCCAAATTTAACTCTCCAGCCTCTGGGGTCTGCCCGAGCCCTCCAGCCTGGAGACACCAGCAGCGAGGGAACCACTTCCAGGGAAAAGCAGGGCTCAAACAGAGCCCCATTTCAGCTGCCGCTTCTATTTCCAATACAAACGCATCTCCGAGTGACAAATGTTGGGTGCTGGCAAACGATCTACAATCGTGCCAGTTTAAAAACCTGTAAATCACCTTGCCTGCCTTCCGTGGGGAGCCGATCTGCGTTTCCACGGAAACAGAGATGGCAGCCCCCGAGCAGCCGGCTGGGTTTGCTCCAGCTCCTCTGGACCGTCCCCGGCTGGGCTGGAAGCCGGTTCAGGATGTCCCAGACCCTGAACATCGGCTCTGTTCGGCTCCCAGACACCCTCCTTTGATCCTCTCAGAAGGAACTATTGCAGCACCCTTCCAAAAGCACCGTTTCACAAAGCGGGACAGCCCTGCTGGCGTTTTGCTTCAGTGCAATCAATAATTAACATAAAGATTAATTGCCCAGACTACGTTCTTAACTCGTATCTAGCATTTCAGAGCTGTTCCTAGCACAAGCCATCATTGAAAGGTGGACCCTGTCCTGGTGTTCTACCCAGGACAATCACAGTCTTTGCCATAATTATGAAGAACATGAATGGATTTTCTCGAAAATTAACACTGTGATACTTTGTGTATCATAAAATTACTGTTTGTGTCACAAGATACCTGGGTCTTTTTGTGCTCGGTGTGTGTTTTAAGCATGGTTAGTGACCATTTGTAGCCCTGAAAATGTTCCAAATCCAAAAAAGGGAGAAGAGGAACTGTGCAAAGTGCAGTGTCACTGGAGGCTTGAATAACACTGGTAGTTCTTGGGAGAAAAGTATAAGTACTTTGTGAAAGAGAAAATGAAAATATTTAGGTTTCTATCTCCCCTTCTGGTCATACCTTCAGGTACCCACTGAAATACGTTTTTTATTTGTCTTTTTGCACGTTTTACCAATATACTGGCTTTCTCCACTGCAATTAATTCAAAGGAAATCACCACTCATTTGCAAGTACTGCATATTCATTAGCCAAGCAGGCAGTGCTTGAGGCACTGAAGATGTTTCCACATCTCAGAAAGGACCCTTTGCACGCTGCTGTTCTCCACAGAAAGCAGCCTTCAGGTTCCCAAAAATGCTGGGCAGCAGCTCAGGATACCCTTTGCCAAAACAGATTGTTACCTGGGATTTTGCCACAGTCTCACCTGGCTAGCCACAGAGAGGAACAGGGAACTGGGAAAAGCATTTGGCAGCATTTGTGCTTTTAATAAACCTGAAATGCCAGAAATTCGGATCAGTTGAATCACCCTACAGCTCAGAAGTGACTTCAACTGGGGTTTAAATTTGCAGTGTCGTGGCTTTCTAGCCCTGTTACTATTGAAAGCAGGGTTTATTACTGGCTTTCTCAAAACAATTCAGCTTTTCCTTTACTTACAGTGAATTAGTCGTGGATTGGTTTCTCAGCCTCTCCTTTTTTGCTTTGCTAATCAGTGGGGCTGGTAAAATAACTTCATGAGTGAGTATTTCCTCACAGCTCAGAGCTGTTGGTGCACACCCATGTCAGCAGCATGTAGGCAGCATAAAGGACTTTGCTTTAAGGACCAAACTGTAGTGAAATTACCCTTTAATGTGACTTTTCTTCTTGTGAGAAAGGCACAACACACTTCACCCTCTGCAGAGAGAAGGTATATTTATACATACATATGATACACATGTTGTAACAAGAATAACTGCTACCTTAAAACTAACATTAAAATCAGTGTTTACCTTCTGAGGGGTTTTTCTTGTACTTTTAGCGAGGTCTGTTTTTTAAAACAGAGGAGGAAAGGACAGTGTGTAGCTGGAAATTCTGTGTACTCCAAATCACTTACAATCTATAGAGAAATAAATGCACATTGCCAAGTGGTTAATACAGTATGACTTTAAACAGGATTATTTGTGCCTCCTGTTGTGCTTTTGGTAGGAGCTGTGTTTGTAGATACTAAATTTATCTGCTTTGTGTTTGGGAAACCTTTGCAATTCAGAGGTACCAGGGCACAGACCTTCAGCATCAAGAGGTCTCTTCACCTCAAAACACAGAAAATGTCACACTTGACCTTCACCATCTTCCCTGCTGTTCTTTCTGTAAGTCAAAGCTGAGGTTTCAATTCTGAGTTTGAGCTTTTGGGGTTTGTTTGGACTGGCTGTTTTGAGCTGTTCCAGCTGACCATAACCTGAACAGTGCTCCTAACTCTTCATAACCTGCAGCATCAGCTGAATCTGCTCTTGCTCTCTAAAGTATCCCAACGACCTGGCTTTGTTTGGTGAGGAAATAATCAAGAGGTGTGGGACAGACCCACAGGCACAAACAGTCCCACAGTTTTCCAAAGTCTGGCTTCTTGGCATCCCTGTGATCTGAGCTGGGTGTTTTGCTGCAGGAGGTACAGAGAAGCCAAAGGAAGAACGGTGTGAATGCACTATTAGGCTTCCAATCCCAAAGTGAAAGAAAACTGATTTTAAAAAACATTATCAGCAAACAAAGGGAGCCTGCATCAATTTACCCTGTATCAATTTACAGAAACATTCACCAGGATGCAACATTATTACAGGATTTTGCTCTTCTCTGGTTACACTAACAATTATATTGGGTTTTTTAAAATGTGCCCTTAACGTCAGGAGCTGCAAAGTGACAAGGGCAGTAGTTGTGTCTTGCAGGGAGCCAAGCTCTAACAACACCTACCACAACTGGCTTACAGAAATATTAAAATTAAGCAGTAAGTTGGATGTTTGGCAAAGACAAAACATCCAATTCGAGGGATATTTCAAACCAACAAAGATCACAACAATTGTTTTCATATTCCTGGGCACACTGGATTTATTAGTCAGATCCCAGCACCACCATGGCAAGAGTTGTACTCACATTCCCAGGAAGTTAAATAAACAAATATGGGTAGAAAAGAACCCAACCCCTAAAACTGAAAGAGGAGTTTTGAGTTTCTATTACTGTGATATCTAAAAAAAACATAGTAAAAGTGTACGTAGTTTTGCTCTGCATCAGAATTTCTTAACATTCCACTGGTGACACATCAACACTTGTGCCAAAAGGAATTCTTTGTTGTCAGCATAATTAACAGGTGGTGTATTGGGAAGAAATTAGGATGTAGATGAGATGAGGTGTCTCTGGTTGATGGAGCCAAGGATGTTGCCCCTGTACATCATGTACATTGCCCACACCTCGAGGAGTTGCTGTGGGCGACCCACAGTGAGAAATAAATGTACAGAACACAGAAAGACAGAATATTTTAAGTTTTAATCCGACAAATGAACAGGGTCTTGACACAGTAAAATGCCATTATATTGCTAATGCTGTAGAATTGTACATTAAAAACAATTATTGTCTATAGATGTAAAAATAGCAAGTTTTATGATACAGTAAAACACGGTATAGAAACCATTTAAAATTAAGTAGAAACCTCTTAAACAATTGAGGCATTAATCTAAGTGTTTCTCCAAAGGTATTAAATAAACCACAGTTAATACTGACTCTAAACATTCTCCCACCTTCCCCTCATCCCAATTAAACTGATTAGAAAAATAGTAGTCTCAGTTATTACTACATTTTGCATTCTTTCAGAACCATTTAGATTCTCCATTTTCTTCAGGTACAGCAGAACAACTCTTCACAAAACAGCACTACCCCAAAGTAATTTATTTCCCAACGTTACAGAGTTTTGAAGTAAGTATTTCAGATTAATTTTGAAGGCTTAGAAGAGGCCCAGGAAGTCTGCGGGGGGGGGGCAAAGGGGGCAATTAAATTTTGAAGGCAAATTATTTACACAACCATTAGTGTACTGTAAGTACAGCATAAAACTTGCAACACAGCCGATGGATGCTTTTAACAAAAGCCCCAAATGAAAGAAAGGGAAAAAAAAACCCAAAACAACAACAACAAACCCAGATTACAAAATAAATAATCTAAAGTTCCTCATGGTAGAAACGTTCATCATGAAGCTGCCTACCATAATCTGTTGCTTCGCTGTTAAGAAACAAATCCTGGTTCTTAAGGACTTCTGCTTCAGAGAGTTTTTTATCACCATTCAGATCCATCTCTTCAATGAGGTGAAGAGCCTGTAAAAGAAGTGGAAAGCCACGTGCACCAAGTTAAAAACCATTCTGGTTTTTGCTTGTTTGTATGTTATAAAAGGAGGGAAGCTCAGCAGCGAAACAAAGAACCCGCTGCAGGATGTTTGAGCTGCAGCTCGTTCAGCAGGGGTAGGTGGTTCAGAGCTAACAGGCTCTGATGGGCTCTAACAGCTCTGCTGCACCCATTATTTCTGAGGAACGGGAGTCCTGGAATTCCACGGGCTTTGTTTTCACTTGCTGAGCATCTACAAACACAGCAATTTAGAGAATCCTTCTGTTCCCACTTTTTCTGATTGGTTTGGCTCAGTGTAAGGGAGCCAAAAATATCGGGCACTAACGTCAGCAGAGCAGATTTGAAAAGAGCTCTGGATGGCAGAAGCTGAAGGATTAATATGACAAACATCTGAGTAAACACATGTCAATTCCTGAAAATGAAATACAGAGTATTTTTTTTTTCTATTTTTATGTTATTTAGCTGCCAGGTTTCTCAAGTCATTTTGAAATGCCAAAAAGAAAGGGTGATATTCAGCTTTCAAACAGCAGTTTGTGACTGAAGTCAATGCTACCTTCTCTTTAGGGCAGGTGACTTTGCCAAGCCTTAATGTTAAGCAAAATAAAAACCCAGCAGGTTAGAGAAACAAATATGACAAATTCTTGCAGGACTGAGCTATCACTACAGCACAGCCTTGCTGGAAGCTAAAATTTGAATCAATAGCTCAGAACAGCTAAAAAACTCAAACCAAGCAAACCAAAACAGGTATGAAGAGACTCAGCACCGCAGAGAATTCACGTCACAACAGGGCTATTTCTAAGAACCAACCCCCCTTAAGGGTCAGATGTTAAAAACAGGCTGTGCAAAGGCTCACAGAGCCCAATTTACAAAAATACTGCTCGAGCAACCAAAGAGCTTCCAGCAAGGCCAGATACACGAGCAGCCCACGCTGCTGCTGCCACGAGGCTTCTTCTGTCACCAAGAGCTGAGAGCTCAGAAAGGAGACCAAGCAGCTCCTCTCTTTCCCAGGAAACCATGGAACCTTGGGAAGACCTGTTGTTCCTGCCATTCTGAGCACCAAAATCCCCCAGTGTAAAGGAAAGACGTGGAAAATTTAGATAAAGTTACTAGTGGAAAGGCAGAAATCCTCTCTACTGCAGCCAGGGACTGTAAACTGCTACAAAAAAAAATAAAAACAGCTAAAATGAGAATCCACTTAAAAGCTACCATGGTGTTCTACCACTGATTAAACCATTTTAATTATCATCATCAAAGTTTGCTTTACACCATCTCGAATCACAGAGTACTCCCATTTTCTTGTACTTAAGTTTTCAGTTCTACAAATTATGGTGATTTATCCAGTTAGAAGAATCACAATCAGTTTCTTTTTTTCAAAATTATGGAGCTTCTTTTGGTAGTGCATCTCATTAGATTTACCTACAATAACTAAGGAATTATTTATTAAAATGCTGTACCCTTGAGTCAAAGCAGATAAGCTGTTTAAACATGTAGAAAAGCACTTTGTTAATTCACAAACACTCACACAATTAGTAGGAGCTTCACATTTGCCTAATGCAGGTAAAGGACCTGCACTCCTTGTCAAAGTGAAAAGAGGTTAAAAATATATGCAAAGATCTACTGACATTCATTTTCAGTAATAAATAGATAAATGTGAATGCTTCCACCATTTTCTGTGATATCTTCACAGTTCTGCACTGGTTAAAACCTAAAGAGCAGCCAGAACACCCACCTCCTCTTGTGCAATGCCCTGATTGTTGGGTACTATCCAGGACAGCAGCTCTTGAGGGTTGAGTTTTCCATCATGATCCTTGTCATAGTCATTCACAAAACGATCCTTCTCAACAAGTATCCACTCTGGATCTTCCCTTGCAGCTGGTAAGACACAGGTGTCAAGTTTAAAGCCACTCTGTACCTTAAAGCAGGTGTTTTCACCTTTTCTCCGAAGCAAATTCACTTAATCTCGTAAAACATAACATAAAAGTGATGTCATTAAGCAAAGACAAACCTTAACGGGGAGCAGAGAGTGGGGAAAGCAATTTCATTTACTGCTGGTGTTTCTTGATTTGCACACTTGGTTGGTGGCTTACCCTGTGCACTGGCACTGCACAGCCTACCCAGCAATCCTAAACTGGCCTCTAGCTCTTCAAGAAATTTAGAAGCAATTCATCCAACTGAGAAATAGTGCAGACAAGCAATTAAGACTTCCTAAACCTTAAGAGTGAAGTCTCTCCTTCCTTTCTAACATTTAGCTCTGCAAGTAGATTATCCCTTCATGTGACAATTCACCATACACTGTTGCCCAAAACCATAAGATAATTATGAAACCAGAGTCCCCACATAGTCTAATTGGTCATTTGAAAGTGTGCTGGAGGAACACCACCTGCAGAAGAGATGGCCTTTTGGGGGGAAGCTGAAGTAGCTTGTACTGATTCTGAACCCTTGCAAACAAGTTGTAATGCAAAGCTGTTACCATCTCTATTACTGCAACAATTTCACTGCTTTCCAACAACTTTGTACAGACGGGCTTGGGAAAGCTTTCTTTCAAGTCAGAGCAGGAAAAAGATAAAGAACCCTGTTGTTGCATCAGAGATCTACTGTTTTTACTGGCTCTGGCAAGCAAAATATGGTCATAAAGGTGAAATTCCAGGTGGCTGATTGGAGTGAAGAAAAAAAGACCATTCCCCTGTGTCTCCACATCCTCATGTGGCTGAAAGTTTTTCTCAGCTCTGATACCATTCAGAATTAGCACTCCTTGGGGCCAAGCAGACTTTCCACAGAACTGAAGTTAAAGGGTTTTTTGGAACTGGAGGAATTGTTTGTCATAGCTTGTAGTAAATCAAATACAGGGTGTAAAAATATGTTGAGTAACACCAGAAAAGTGCCTTTTCTCTTGTTAAAGGAAGAATAGGTCAAGTTTAAGAAAGGGCAAGAGTGGGGAAAAAAACCCATAACAAACCAAAAATATCAGGCAAATATCAAGCTCCTGATATCTGGCACAGAACCAACTCCTTCCTCTCTTGTACCACACGTGGCTCACCTTGCAAAGCCAGGCTGAGAGCCAAAACCAGGGAAGTTTAACCTTCCATCCCTGCTGGCTGGGTTTGCAGAGGTGCTCAGTGAGTGATCCTGCACCTTATTTCAGCTGCATCCCTTGTGATCAGGGAGACACTTCAGTCTTTAGGAAAACAAGAACCAACTTGCAGGGAAACAGTGGAATGGGCCAGACTGAAATAATGAGCTCAGTTCCAGGGAACAGAGTTATACTAAGACAGTAAAATGTTACTCTGTAGGTATGAAAAGCTGAAAATAAAGGTGCACCCCATTCAAAAGCTTTTGTTAGTTCCCTCTTTCAAAACCCCTCCCTTTTTTCCTTACTTGGGTCTCTTCTGTAATCACCAAGGAATTCGTCCAGGCTAACAAATCCATCACCATCTTTATCATGTTCTTCTAAAGCCTCCTGAATGACAAAGTCCTTTTGTGTACATACAAAGAGCAAAATTAGCAACTCATAATCAAGAGAATCATTTTAGAGCAATAAGGAACTCTTTAAAGGAAAGACTCCCTCATTTCAAATCTCCTTTTCTGTTTTATGCAGACTGGTGCAGTAATTGCTTCCTGGGTAATAAAACAGATCTGTTCTTAAGAGTTTAGAATGCCAGGTTCTATGAAAACCAAATCTGAAAGGTGTCCATAGAGCTGGAATCCTTCAACAAAATTCAAAACTACAGAAGCAGCTGAGAAACATAAATATGCACAAAACTCTACCATCTCATTTTCACTTTTCTTTTTTCATGTGATGGATTCACTAATTTGCATTTTTGCAACTTAATTTAGTTGTTATAAACTGCTTTGTCTTTTGTCCCGTGTTCCCCAGTGAAGCCAGTGAACCCCTCCTGTATTTCTTCCTCCCCTTGTTCATCCAGAACTCTGTGCTGTGTACACACAAACAAAGGCTGCTTGCAGATCCCTCCTCCTGGGAGCTGGCTCTGGCACCAGAGAGCTAAAACTGAGAGCTAAAATCTCACTGATGTATTTCCCAAAGCTCAGGACAGGCAGGATCTCACCGTCATGTACTCCACCTCCTCGGGGTGCTCAAAAGCCACGTACTCGTCCACGCTGAGGGCGGGGACATCGTCTCTGTTGGCTTGCTCAAAACGCTTTTTCTCCTTTAAATGAAGCTTAGAAAACAGATTTAGTTAGAGCCCTTAATGAAAAGGAAAAACAACATCAGAGTAGTGGGCTGTGAGCTCATTAGAATATTAATTGTTTCACGTTACCTACTCGTGTTATACTGATGTTACACTTTCACTAAATAGAGCTAATTGAGAGCAATAAGAACAGCACTTTAAATTCAGGTTTCATTCTAAGAATTGCATAAAACCCTGTTTGTTTTTTTTTAATTTAAGGAGCCATTTAAAACATACTCTCAGACAAGGCTTCAGAAACACAAAAGGGACATAATGAAAAGACCAAGAATTCTTATTTCCATACGTGCATCCTCTTCTAAAAGTCCCCAATTCCCAAACTAACCAAGTGGACTACAATGTTTAATAATTAATGGCAGCCACTGCAAATTCCAAAATTTACATTTTAAGAACATTTAACCTTCTGGATCTACATCTTACTTATATCAAGGGCTGTCTGTAGTTCATAGAAGGTCTTGAAATATCAGAAAATGTCTTTTCTGAGGCCATTTTAAAGGCTGAAGGATTTGCCAGATTCCTTTATTACAAGACTGCTGTTCATGACACCTGAGAATTTCAAAGGAAAGTCACTTCTCTAACCTGTTTTAGGTACATATATTAGCATGTCTTTAAAAAAAAATAATATCCACAATAAGCAGGCAAGTTTTTATTCCTGAACGTTTGCACTTCCTATTCTGTATTCCAAATTTGAAAAAAAATCCTGTTTTTTTCTTGTTTCATTGTAAACAGCCTCTTTAGACAAAATACAGACCCACACCATTAAAAACTGACCTCTGCTCAAAGTGCACCTGACATGAACTATAAACACCTTGGAATCCCATCATTAAGTGTGTTGTGCCATCAGTGTGACTCTGATCTGGGTAAAGGAGCAGCCAGAAAATCATAGATCTTAAATGCTTTAAAATTAACCACCTGAAATTGCACTTCTCATTTATATCCTACCTGCTGACACTTCTCTCAAAATTAGGCTAACCTGACCAACACATGTAACAAAGGAAGGATAAGATCTTAAATATTCTTCAAAATAGTTAAATGTTCTCTTAGAGAATAGCCGACCTTAGCTGAGGGTTTAACTAGGAAGGCAGTTCAGAAGGACTGGCTACAGAAAATCAAGACTGCAACAAAAATTTGCCCTATAGAGGAGCAGTCTGGTTTTCCAGGGATTTTTTGGGAAGTGATGAACAAGGCCGCCACCTTCTGGTAAACTCCTGTGGTTACTCGGTGTCAATTCTAAATCAACAACCCAGCAGGCAGTCAAGTTACACCAAAACTAAGCAACAGTTCTAACTCAGCTGATGTATCTATAGCTCTGTTATGGCAATACCTCAAACATGGGATCAGTATTTGGACTGGCAGTTCCACTGAAAATCTGGTTTTATTTAAAAGCTATGGAATTATTCCAGTTAAATTAAGCTTTACAGTTGGTTTCCTCAGTGTGTAAAATCTTCCATCCACAATTTTAGTTTCAGTTCTGTCAACATCCTATATTATCTACCCCTACTTTACTAACAGCATAGAAGACAATCCTTACAGAAAAAAACACCTCAGGCCAGAATATTCTAAACACTCGCTTATTCTCTTCTTGGGAAACATTTACATGTACTTATAAATGTGTAACTTGAAAGCTTTGCTATGTGGTGGTGAACCTTTCCTCCCCTGCCTCTCTTGCCTCTCTCCTTTCCCCTTTTATGCATCTGCTTTTGTAGATGAGACTAACTCGTAACTTCTGTGTTTAGACATCCATTTGTAGCTACAGGAGTTTCATTTTTATGGCTACAACTGCCTGAATTGCTGTTGCTTTCTCTGGGGGTCTCTGATGGACAGGCAGTGTTACTGCAGGCAATGCTGATGCCCCACAATGAATACTTGAGTAGCAAGCGAAGTGTCAGGAACAGTGCAGTGAAGGGGTTAAAGCCTCTCCTCCTCCAGCAGCAGTGGTCCTGGCCCCTGCTGAAGGCAGACACTGTCAGGCTGCAGACCCAAGCCAGACCCAAACCTCGTTTTAAGGCGATGGCAGAGACTGGGCTCTGTCACAAGCACTGCTGAGAGACTTGTGCTCCACTCAGCCAGCAAAATACACTCAGGGGGTACCATTTCATTGTGTCTTTATTTTGTTGGTAGCAGCTTTAACACTCCATTACTTTCCTTTAATTACTCCCCCATCTCAGACAGCAGAAAGTGTTAAAACATGTGCCAGCTGCTCTACCCATCTTGTTCCATCACCATAAACAAACATTGCCAACAGCTCCAGAAACATTTTACCTGTCGAAATGATTCTTCTTCTTGGTCCTCCAGGACAGTGTTCTCATCAAAATCGATCACACGATCGTACATCTGCAAATTATACTCCTTCCAAGACACCAATCCATCACCATCCTTGTCATAGTCACGGAAGTGTTGCTTTGCTTCTTGGGTAACGTAGTGCTTAAAAGATTGCTGTATCCAGGAGCTCAGCTCCTCTGTGGAAAGCATCAAAAATATAATCAAATAAACCAAAGCAGAGGAATCTGCACCGTGAAAACTGTAAAGATGCCCCAGATCTATTCCATCTGGAATACACTCTGCAGCTGGGATGTAAGTGTGTAGGCAAGAGGTTAGTTAAAGCAAACCAATCTGCCTCCTCCATGCCAAGGCTTTTTCCACGTTAAGTGAATGAGGAAACAGCAGCAGACTTGTGGTTCTTTATTGTGATGATTATGTGGCCACGTCTGGAGCAAATCAACACTATGGCATTCTTTTTTTCCCCCCTTTTCTTTATGAAAATGATGCTGAATATGGTTTAGACAGACAGCTCTAAATGTAATTTGGTGCCCCAAAATAACACTGCTCTCATCAGTTTGGGGTTTCTTTTGAAAAATCCGCAAACTGAAATAAAACTCAATTTACTGCCATTACCTTCATTACCCAAAATAAAATATTAACAGCTATTTTCCCTTTACCTGGGGCTGAAATCAAGCCTTACGTAGTTTGGAATGCTTGTTTTTATAGAAATGTGGCTAAAAGAAATAAAACTTAATATACCAATGAATTGACACAAACACATTAAAGTTACTTCATTTAAAGAAGATTGGGAGAACATATTCTCTCAGTATCTCTCAGTTATTTTCAGGTGCCCGGAAGGGAAAGACATCTTACTCTGCATTACAAAAATGATGTATCTAAATCAACTCTGAAGATTCATGATGAATAATAAAAAAATCCTATAAAAATTACTACTTTGATGCAGAAAAATCTTACAGCATTTTTTAAATACTGAAGTATCTTATCCTGTCATTCTTGGCAGAAGCATCAATACAACTTCACGAGATTTAAACCTCTTTGAAAAGCAGCAAGAGATTTTTAAAAATGCATTTTGAATACTGCATTTGTATCAGCAGAGGAAGCAGGTTCATAACAGATTCTGTGAGTTGACTGAACATGCAGAGCTGTGTGGGCACCAAGGGTTGTGCACAAACCAGGACTGCCTCACAAGGAACTGCAACATCATTTCTCAAAGATGGGCAACGTGTAATTTATGGTTTATTTCCCAGCATTTAAGGCATCAGGCACAGCCATCTGAACACGTAATGTCCAGTGCCATTAATCAGAAATACTTATTGCTCCAACATTAGAGAGGTAGTATTAATATATCCCATCTTCTCTCGCTGTCAGGCTCCAAAGGGAGGCACCACTAACATGGACAAACTTCTCGAGAAGAATTTTGCAGTGCTGAGGAACAAATGAGCTGAAAAAAAAATCAGTACCATAAGTTTCTTAGTGTTAAAACACATTCCACTGTGAGTTTTCCTTTGGGGAGTGAGAGGAATTCAAGTCTTCATTAGACTGAGAACCAGATGCAATCTATGGCATAAGGCTGGAGTATGGGTGGAATTCCTACACTTTAAAGACTTTTGTGAGCTGCCTGTTCTGTATCAGAGGGATCGGCCATCCTGCCAAGGCTACACTGTGTCAGCTCTACATAGTCCATGAGACACACTGAAAGAAGGGTGCAGGTCATTAAAATCCACACATAAAGTGAAAGACATTCAAGAGAGATGGTTGATCTTGTCTTTAAAACCATATTTTGTCCTCTCACCCGGAAAGCTTCCCAGATGTTTAGCTTAATTTTAATGAAATATTACTGCTCTGGTGTTTGAACAAGGATTCTGCTTGCTTTGTGTGTGCACACGAGAGACTTGATTTGTGGTCAAAATCACAGCTAACCAACAAAAATTAGTTTAACTTTTAAGAGTGTCATGATGATGTACTGAAAGGAAAGGCCTGAGTTTACCACGGAGTTCATGAGTCTGACTGATAAAAACCAGCCTGGGAAGAGCCATTTGTTACTGTGTTGTGATGAACTATGATCTCTCAGTGTCACTTTGTGTCACTACGTACCGAAGCACATCTATGTAGTATTATGGCTGCAGTACTTTCTTTGCACCTTAAACTTGCTCTGAGTGGCACAAACATGGTTACAAACACAGAAATCCACTTGATTTCTAGTAGCTTCAGACGTGCATGGAGCAGCTACAAGTGCAAAGGTGATACCTGCAACTTGGTACTGCTCTTACCCACACTAACTCTGGCTGGCCCCAGCTCTTCCATCACTGAATCACAGCATGGGTCAGGTTGGAAGGGACCACAGTGGCTCATCTGGTCCAACGCACCTGCTCAAGCAGGGTCATCCCAGAGCACGTGGCACAGGGTTGTGTCCAGATGGTTCTGGAGTATCTCCAGTGGGAGAGACTCCACACCCTCTCTGGGCAACCTCTTCCAGTGCTCGGTCACTGCACAGGAAAGAAATTCCTCCTCATGTACAGGTGGAACTGCCTGGGCATCAGTTTCTGCCCGCTCCTCTTGTCCTAGGGGCTGGCACCCGGAGCAGAGCCTGCTCCATCTCGGCACTCCCCCTTTAGGTATTCATACACATTAGCGAGGCCCCCTCTCCGCCGCGTGTTCTCGATCAGAAACCTTAGGGACTGAGACAGGCTCTGTACGAGCCTGCCGGTGTTTCTAACGCGCCGTGCAGGGAGGGGGCCGCTCTGTTCAGCGCGGGGGTTCTCCCCAGCGCGGGGGTTCTCCCCAGCACGGGGGTTCTCCCCAGCACGGGAGTTCTCCCCAGCACCGGGGTTCTCCCCAGCACTGGGGCTTCTCCCCAGCACAGAGTCGCGGGCCGTGCCGGGGTTGCAGCGCGCCCTCCCCCCGGCGCCGCCGTTACCCTCGCTGAGCAGCCCGTCCGCGTCCGCGTCGATCCTCCTCACGATGCTCCTCAGCCGCCGCTGCTGCTCCTCGGGGCTGAGCCGCGCGTACTCCTCCGCCTCCTCCTGCGGCACAACAACAACGCGCCGGGTCAGCGGCCCTGCCGGCCCGGCCCGGGCAGCGCCCGCCCCGCCGGAGCCCGCCCGCCCCCGGCCCACCTGCCCTCCGAGCAGCGCCTCCCGGTCGTACTCGGCGCGGTGCTGCTCGTTCGCCGCGCCCGGGGCCACGGCCAGGGCCAGGGCCAGGCCCAGCGCCAGCAGCAGCGGCCGCATCGCGCCGCCCGCCCAGAGCGACCCGCGGCAGGGGCGGGGAGAGGGCCCGCGGCGGAGGGGTCGGGCCCGCGGCGGAGGGGTCGGGCCCGCGGCGGAGGGGTCGGGCCCGCTGCGTGGGCTGGGCAGGTCGGCAGCGAAAGCGTTCGCGTTCCTCTCTCTCCTGCCTTACCGGCGGAACGCGCCAAGTACCGGCCGTGTAACACTGACAGTTTTCCAACTTGTGATCATCTCAGAAACCTGGCAGACGGAAGTCGCTGTTAGCAGTGATCACTGCACGGAGCCTGCCAGAGCTCGAGAAGCTTTTGGACAACTCTTCGTGCACGTGGTGTGATGCTTGGGGTGTCCCGTGCAGGCCCAGGAGGAGTTGGAGTCAATGATCCTGATGGGTCCCTTCCAACTCAGCATATTCCATGATTCTGTGATTCCCAGAAGTTCAGGCAAACATTAACAAGCCCTGCGAGAGGGAAGATGATCAGGAAACAAGCCCCGCAAAAGTTTTATATGATAAAGGAAGGAACACTTTGTCATGCTTGAGGGCCCAACTCGCAAATAACACTTCTAAGGGAAAGAGAAAAGGAAGCAAGTCTTCAAAAGAGGTGGATCAATACAAATTTTAATAACTGGTCAAGACAGATAATAGAAAGCTGTAAAATAAATTTAACCTCATTGACCACTCAGACAAACTGAAAATACATCGGGTAAATGAGGGGCCTCCCCGGGAATATCATTCCTAACAGCTGTCACATGAAATTGGAATTGCTCTGATCCCGACCCCACTGAGGTCAAATTAATGATTCTTACTGGACTGAGATTTATGCAGGACCATCGTTAGATTTGTTATTTCTCCTTTCAATACTACTGCATTTTCAAACCTCCTCTTTCAACTAGAAAGAAGTGAGATTAACGCACCTAGGTTTCCAAGAACACAGTAGTTTAAGCAGAGCCCCCAGTGGGTGGTCCCTTCCGTGGTGACAGCACTGTACTGCTCCCTGGTTCACCTCCAATTCTATTAACTGTGAAGAGCTACGACAGTTCATTTTGAAGATCCCAGAGTAAAATATTGCAATAAATCAGTAAACGTGTTATTGCAATTTCCTGCCTGTATAAGAAATGTCTTTCCATTAAAAAATCTAATAGTGAGTTAAGTCTAATACCCTTTATTGGTTTAAATGTCAAATTTCCAACCAGTATTTATATAAATCACATATACAAAATGTGAATTAAGTCCTCCTACTTGTGGCATGTGCAGCCAAAGCAAATCCTATAAGGAATCAAAACAGAAATAAGATTTGATTCATTTCTGAAGTAGCACTGAAGATGCTTTGTCTTGTTTTTCTAATGCACCACTAACACCCCAAAAAACCTCTTTGCTGCATATCTCAAGGGTTGACAGGTGTATCAGATTGTACATTTCAGTGCCTAAACCACTGTGACAGCCTCCAAATAACAAACTCAACATAGATGTGCAAGAGCAAGTTTATGATTATGAAAGTCGTATCTTCTACATTAGGGAAAAAAAATCAGAATCCCAGCAAGAGGGAAAACACACAGGAAATCATATTCTTCTCTGTGTCAAAATACAATACAGACATTTACCAGCACACAATTAAACCAGTCATATAATAAATTCAAGATCATTCTGGTATGGATGCAGGGGAAAAAAAAAAAAAGAGGCTCTTTTGTTCAAGCCATTATTTTAATCACGTGCATAACAAATGCATCACTATTTTAACTTAAAAGGGAGTGTCAGTGAAGCTATTTTTAAAGCAGAATATAAGTCATGCTATATAAAAACTTTTTTATGGGATGAACTTTCTGCCTTTTCTGGAAAATCCCCCCTCCCCTCAAGCCAAACTGCATGCAGTCTGTCACAAATCTGTTTGGAGCCATTCTTTTGGTCACAAAGGAATTAATGTTAGAAGGTCACTTCTTCTCTATGAGACCTGCAAATGTAAATCTGGCCCTGTTAGACCATCAGCATGAGAACAGTCGTGCAGCAGCACAAACACCAGCTTCTGAACAGTTTTTTCTAGCAAGTGAAGTTATCCATTTGGTGTTTACTGTGAGTTTTTGACATTTCTATGTTTCAGTTTTATAAATCGCTGCCTAACTTGAATAACCCTTGATTTTCTTTAATGCAAGTTATTTATACACTATTACAACAAATGTATTCACAGGAATTATTTAGGTGGGCTTCCATCTTTGACACATTCTCCTAAATTTGTTTTTTTATCCCATGTAAAAATTTTAATCTGCATACGAGACAGTTGAGTCCTAAGACCTGCATGCAAAAATTACCCTTCCATTATAAAAGTTGTTAATTTTGGCATGTGGATTCGAGTAAGGCAAATAACTGAGCAACAATTCACTTACAATCACGTTCAAATACCCCGCATTTGGATTTCAAAGTGAGCAGCCATTTGCTTCAGTAGTACCCAAATATGACTTTTTGAGTGTTCTAATTGTTTCATATGACCTTGCACAAAGTATCCTGAGGTATTTTAGACTCTGCAGACATTACTGACCTGTTTTACTACTTCTTTGTGCAGTTATTAATATCCGAGGAAATAGGTTATAAAAGGACGCTCTTCTGATGTGGTGTCTGATTTGGCATCAGACCAAAACAGCAGGATTTGATGTCAGGTGTGGTATCACAGTGCTCAGCTCAGCCACACACGGAGCAGGCAGCTGTGGGAACTCAGACTGATAAATAATAATCAAGTTCATTATCCAGCGATGGCAGTAGAAGGGATTTGGATGGGACCTTCATGGACCTCTTGGCTCAGCTCTCTGCTCTGATCCACGGTCAGCTGATCGTGTAATTTCTGAGAGATGTTGTCGCTGCTGTTCCTGGAGACTCCAACTGAAGCGTGTATGATCTCCCAAGACATCTATTCCCATCCCTGTAGGATTTTTAATGTCTTAGACATGACAGCCTGAGCTGTCCAGGTTACAATTTAGGCCTCTTTCTTCTCACTATTCCTGTCACAGTGAGGGAAATGGATTACTCTGTCTTTACACATCGTGCTTTTACATGCATGAACACTCCTACTCCTTTTGTCTTCTTTTGGCTGAATAGATTCAGATTGTCCAGTTTCCTCACAAATAACATTTCCCAAGCCTCAGACCCCGTGAGGAGGGCTGGCTTCTCCACAAGCCCCACCTTTCCTCAGGTTCAGTGCCCAAGCTGGACTCAGCACCCTAAATCACACCTCGGTGATACGCCCCAGGCTTAGGTCCCCATTTTGCCATTTGCCTGGATTATACACACACCCCAGGTATTGCACACAATTGTTTACATTTTCCCAGCTCCCAGGGGTGGGGAAGGGTGGGACGCTGATGGAGTGACCACTGTCGGCTCAGTGGTCCTGTCAGGTCGACAGCGGCTGAACATGAGCCCAGGTGTGCCCAGGTGGGCAAGAAGGCCAAGGGCTTCCTGGCCTGTCTCAGAAACAGGGTGGCCAGCAGGACCAGCGGTTGTTCCTCTGTACTGGGCACTGCTGAGGCCACATTTTGAATCCTGAGTTCAGTTCCGGGCCCCTCATGATATGAAGGACACTTAACGGGTCTGGAGCAAGGCGCTGGAGCTGCGGAGGGGTGTGGAGCACAAGTCCTGGGAAGAGCGGCTGAGGGGACCTTCTCACTCTACAGATGCCTGAAGGGAGGTGTCAAGAGCACACGGCCTCAAGCTGCCCCAGGAGAGGCTTGGGTTGGACATTAGGTGGAATTTGTTCATAGAAGGGGTGATGAGACATTGGAGCGGGCTGCCCGGGGAGGTGGTGGAGTCACCGTCCCTGAAGGCGTTAAAGACTGGACGTGGGACTCAGCGCCACGGTCTGATTGACAAGGCGGTGTTCGGTGTCCCTTCCAGCCCTCCTGACTCTGTGTTTCCGTGACGGCCCCTGGGGCTGTCTGGGGGGCCGGAGGCAGCCCCGGACACACGAGCGGTTCCGAACGGCGGCGCTGAGGGGGCCGCGCGGGGATCGCCCCCCCACACGGCGGGGCTGCGCGTGCGCGGGGGGCGGGGCCGGCCGCTGTCGGCGGGGTGCGATGACGTCACCGCGGCGGGGCGCGCGCGGGCGGGACGGCGCGGCGCGGCGGAGAGCGTGAGTGACCGGCGCGCGGGGGGCGCGCGGGGCAAGATGGCGGCGGGCCGGGCCCCCTCCCCTCAGCCCCTCACAGCCCCTCAGCCCCAGCACAGCCCCCGGGACACCGCCCTGCCAGCCGGGACACGGCCCTGCCAGCCGGGGCAGGCACTGCACGGTTGCTACAGGCGACCGGCAGCGGTGGGGGTGGGTCGGACCGTGCCGTGAGGGCTGGCACAGCGAGGCCGGCGGGGAACGGGCCGGTCCGTCCGAGCCAGCGCCGCTGGCTGTGGGGAAACTCGGAGGTGCTCGGTACCGGGGGGACCCCGGTGCGTGTGAACCCGGCGGTCGCCGGAGCTGCACGGGCCCAGCCTTGCTCTGTAGGCGTGTGGAAGGGAGAGGCACACGTGGAGGCAATTGGCTGTCAGCTCTGAAAAACTGCCACCCATGCTGGTGTACGAGTATTTGAATTATAAAAACTACTAACGCCGTCCCGAGAATAAACCAGTGGTCTTCCTTAGCTGTCAGCGGAAATCACGGCTGAAGGAGCTGACAGCTCCGTGGGTCTCGCCGAGTACTCGGGGATAGGGACTGTCTGCTCTGCACACTCTCTAAACTCAAATTCTTGTTTCTACATTGTTGCCAAATGCGCTGCAGTACTGGGAGAACATATGGGCCTTCAGGTTTTTCCTCAAATATCTGTGTCGGTTTAATGAGCTTTTATTGCACGTTGATTAAGTCAAGGCAGTTTGGTGTGCAAAAGCACAGCTTTCTAAGACACCTCAGTGTCTGAAGATTCGTGCTGGGCCTGCCCTGATGCCTCCAGTGATGCTGAAGTACAGTCTTTGTTTTCAAAATTGCAGCTTCCTTCATTGAGCTGCAGAACTTTTCAGGTTTTATGGGTTCAGCAGGTTGTCCTAAGGCACATAAACAACTGCCTGCTTGTTGATGCA